CAGCGGGCGTGTCCACCCCCTGACGGCCGATTGCCTTTTTTTGGCCACAACACCTGTAACAGCTATCTTGTCGTTAGTTAGATTGCAAATTGTGCGATGGTGAGTAGGTTTTTGGTCATAAAATGTATCAGAGAATAATTATTAAGTGTATTATCAAAACTTGTTCAAGACAGATTATAATAAATGTCTTTTTAGCGTTCTCTATTTCTACTTGAAGTGTTCTCCTCTGCCAAAATGACCAAAATCTCTCTATTCTCACTGAAAGCTAACCACAAACTTTTGAGGTTCTATATTTCGTCGGAGGTATGTGTAGTATGATTAGATCAAATTGTTCAAGCGGATTTTTTATACGTGGGTTGGTTCCTGTGTTGTCCATAATCACGGGTTTCAGAGGCTCAAATATTGGTTACATGGGTGCTGGCCCAAAAAGGAAACTCATAGTCAGGGGGTGGACACGCCCGCTGCGCGGGCTTTGCCCACCCCCACGTATTGGTCATAGCGGCATGAGCGTGCCGAGTGCGATCGAGCCGCAACCCCGATCGCGCGATCGGCTAGATTAGCCCATGGTCATGGTGTTACCTCTCATCCTCAGCGATCAAGGCAGCATTGTTCTCACCATAACACCACTCAAATTACTCCAAAGAAACCATGTAAGTGTCTTATTTGCCTTCCAGCTAATCTAATGCATCGCTAGATTGAAGAATTTAATCGTCTTGGCATTCCCTCAATCCAAATTAATGAGGACACACCAAATGATCGATCTCTTTGGAAGGTACGCGTATTTTGTGCATATACTCATTGATCTGACGCAATTGTGGCCTCAGGACATTGCTGCAGGGGAATACAGGAACATATGCATTGCTCCTGAGCAGTTCTTTATGCACAAAGGCCACGTTCTTTGCCACGCATCCCTCATAGTTGATCCCCTTTCCTCGTTCTCAAGGAGGATTTCTGAGCTCCGAATAGACGAGCTACACTTCATTAAACAGGCTGGCTACCCATAGAAGGGTGAGAAGGAAGCTTTCAGACCAGCATACAGCCGTATCAGTGAGGCTATGCCACATCTGCCCCTTGGAACCCCAATACTTGGTCTCTCAGCAACCCTTCCTCATCCCGTCCTTTACACGGCCCTCGACAGCCTCAGACTCAATCCAGAGACCACAGCTATGCATCTCCAATCTGTTAACCGCCCCAACTTCACGTATGCAGTACACCCCATGTACGGTGGAGCTAAATACTTCGAAAACCTTAGATTTCTCATAACCCTCTGGCTCCGACGCAGTCCACCCTCCCAAAACCATTATCTTCGTTGATGAGAAGCTTCCAGCTGCCAGGATTGCTCGCTGTATGCGGAACCAATTCCCCCGTCACCTCAGGAGTCGCACAGTCGTCTCACATATTCACTCACACATGTCCCAGGACTTTATTAACAAGAGGTTCGACGAGTTCACCAAAGTAAGCGGCAGGATCTGTATTCTTGTCGCCACCACCATCGCTTCTAATGTGAGTATATCGTTTCCCTTCTCGGAGAGACTGAGGATTGGGCGGAGCTGCATGGTCATGAGATTTTTGAGGTTATCAGGACTTACACTAACGAATTACAGGAGAGGAAGGATGCAGAGAAAAGTGCCAAGAAATCGACCAAGCCTTCTGCTAAGAAGCAGAAACAAGCTAATCCTCCGATGACCGCAACAGCTGACCCTTCAAACTCTGAGGATCAACCTGAACACGTTCCTGAGGTCTCTAGCTACTCTTGAGAGGGTTATTCACTCCACGAAATCGCTTCCCAGCTATCTGTCGACATTCTAGGCTCGTCTCAGCCGGCCTATAGCTCAGTATCATTCACTCAGCACATGACAGCATCGGATTTTATCTCTCCTCTTCGTCGACAGCGCTCAGACTCACCTCCAGCTTGCTCTCTGCCACCCAAACGAGCACGTCCTTCACACGAGTAGTGTACAATAACTATGCTTGCAGTAGTTACAGAACATGCGAATATAAATTGCTATTGCTACTCTAATATGTTTGTGAGGTTAGGGAGCTCAAGACTAGTATCAGACGAACTCTTAAGGAAAGCAGCTAAGTCCTCAGGCATTTCTATGTCCTCACCTGCATCAAGGGATAATATATCCCTTTCCGCTCGCTCTAACCAGATGTCCTGCACGTTTTCATTAACCCCTTCTTCTCCAGCACCATCATACTCAACTTCAGGCTCGCTTTCATCGAAATCATAGTCCCCAGTCTCCCACCATACCGCGTATGACTTGAGCCAGTTCTTGATACCAACATTCCTCAGGTAATCGTCTCCATCAGATAGGACGTCTTCTGTACACATTGATGCCTTTCTCCCTGGAATTGGTACGTGTAGTTTATGCTCGAAAGACTTGGCCTTGAGTCAACGAACATTACTAGAGGTGTCAGGGACTTTGTGTGTTGTCCCAGCATAGCGCGTAGACAAGAACTTTGCATACTGAAACTGGATGGGCTTGAGGACAGGTACAAGGGTAGCATATACCGCTAGCACGGTGGTTCCAATCGCTTCGTACACCTTTGAGATGATGGACAAACTAAAAATCGTCAGGAAGTAGTGTTAACAGTTCATATAACATACCCCAATGTCGTTTATGAGATGCTCTATGTCCATGTCCCTCCCAACAGCATGGCCTTCGCGTCCGGACGTGTTAATGAGCGTGAAATAACGCATGACGTTGCTGTAGAACGTCAGCAGACCGCTAGATGAATAAGAGAAAAATACGAACGCAAAATCAGGCGTCCAGATCTTTTTGAGGTTCTGGAGAAGGTGTAGAGTGTCACCCATGTAGTTGTAGCGCTTGCCACCTGAGAACGTCGCTGCCAGAGCCCCAATATAGAGTTCTAGCCGCCCAAAATTGCCTGAGGATATCCCTTTGATCAAATCATAGAATATCAGGAGGTCTCTGTTAAGAAAGACGATGTTCTGAAAGACTTCATCAACCTTGCCGCCCTGCCAAGGTCTCGAACAGCAGCATCAGTAAAATACTTGCGATGTATGCGTGTTGAGTCAAGGAGCTCAGACGCGCTTGGTTTGCTATCAGCAAACTCCCTGAGTGATTTCCCAGTCTCGACCTCCCAGTATGTAAGAATGTTCGCCTGTAGCACCTGAGTAAAGCACAAACCCATCGTCTGGTAGTCAGGTTTCTCATTCCCAAGGCGCTTGAGGTTCAGGAATTTTGAGCACCAAGCCAGAGTCCCAGGAGAGTGAATAGAACCACGATGAACAGCGTTATGTTGCCATGCAAGATTAGCCGCCTTATGAAACAGACCCATGTCCAGCTGTATATTCTCGAGCCTGTGAAACGAGTTCACGTCTTCAGCTCGTAAAGTTTGAGCAGCACGTATACGGGCAGCGGTAGAGTGGTCAGGTGTACTGGGGATTGCACGAATATCGAACATAGGGTCGCGTGCAGGTATCCGAAGTGTGACTGTGAAGGCATGGGTGTAAAAGTTGGTATTCCCAATCGTCGTAGACTCGCCATGCGTCGTCGTAGGGAGAGGAACATGTGTAATCTTTTGGCCGGGTGGAAGTGGGCAATACTTCTTGTATTGAAGCTCGTCGGGGCTGCCTAGATAGCTGAAGAGCTCGCCAGTTGAATCGCGCATGATATTGATGATTCCGAGTATGGAGTGAAAGGCTATATCAATGGCCTGAGCTGGTGTTGTCCTCACGTCTTCTTTGTAGGCAATAACGTTGTCCTTGAGTGCCCGGTTAGTTAGTATTTGAGGTAGGCGGTCGACGACAGAGTCAGGGACACCAGGTATCGGAGAGATGACATCCTGTGTGCCCGTTTCGCACTTGGGAGGTGCAAGATCGCGCTGTGTCGGGTGTATAGACGTCTTCACCTGCAAATTATCCCAGTTAATACCAAAGGCCCCAGAAAGCACGATTGCCCGTGCAATTTCTATTCGCTCCTCAGCCAGATTCTCGCAGGTATCCCGAAGCGTTGCTACTGAAGGACAGAGACCAAGCTGCGAGAATATTTCGATTGCACGAGGAGGTATCCCAAGGCTGAGCAAGAAGAGCCCGAAGTGTACCTGAAATAACATGTTGTTTTGCGGTCGGAGATGAGAGATCTGGCATATTATAATGGTAGCCACCTGTGTCTAGCGTCAGAACCAGGATATATGCGTCAATTAGGAAGCAAAAAACTCGCTGCAAGAGTCTTCTTATCCAGAGTTTCTGTTCGTTTGGTTCGGCTTTGTATAACCGAAGCAATTAGCTCAAACGTCACTGGAGCGATCTCGAGAAGCTTCTGAGTTATATCCTTGTGGATCTCAAAGGTCTCGAGGGATTTGGAATCGACAGTGTTACAACTCTTGAGAAAGAGGTCTTTGGACGACGCTTTTTGCATTTCCTGGTCGACTACACCAAGCAAAAACGAGATAGACTCGGTCCCCATATAGTCTTTTACCTTGGCAATCCATCGCTTGTTCACCATGAGCGCGTTCCACAGATGATCGAGTCCGTTGCCTGGCATGAGACCCTTATAGTACTACCTAGATAGATATTGGTGGTCTTGATGCGCATTGAGAATCTCAATCATGACCCCAACAGGGGTCTTCTTTGCTTCCACTATGAGACCTAGGCCAACTGATACTTTGGAGTCAATAGTTCCGAGACCGTGAGTGTCAGCATAGAGCTTGAGAGGTGTCACTTCAGCCAGAGCAGCCGCCTGTAAGAGGTGATTTATGCGAGTTTTCTTGGATGGCAAGTCCAGTTGACTAGAGTGGGTCCATGGCCGTGCTGGGCCATTCGGAGTGTCCTGAGATGTGCTCACGCGAGAGGAAGGGGATGCAAAAACATGTATTCGCTACTCGATATGCTCTAGGGGCAGAGTCCGACCAGAGTGTAAGCCCGACGCCTTCCCGGACTTACGACATACGCCACATCCTCGGCGATCTCGGACTACGACTCGATCGACGTTCCTTATTCCAATCTCTTTTAGACTTACAATTTGCTTCCGTTTCTATTCTTATCGTTCTCTCTGCTTCGAAGAAGACTTCGTCTTCACTCCGATTTCCTTGGATTACTATATTACCCGATTCCGCGCCCTTGCTATCCTCCTGCTAGTACACGTATAAAACGGACCCCTTCTCGTTATTTACCTTAGAATCCCCTCCTACCTACTCTTGTACCTCCCTGCGTCACCTCACGAATCATACGCATCGTTCTACTCAGTTTCCGTCCGAACCTTAGTGTTCCCCGCCTCGGGCAGGGTTCCACTTTTTTTTTGAGTATCCTTGGTGCGCATACCGTTCATCCGAACAGTACACTATCCTCTTTTCACTCTATCCTTCGTCTTCTAGACGAGCACCTCGCTCCCTGGTCTTGTCGACGCTTCTGTGTCGAAAACCTTGTTTTTTCCCTAGCTCCCCTAGTTCCCCAGTCCTGTGACGCTCCTGCGTCCATCCTGTCCTAGTCATCCTGTCTCTCAGTCCGGTTCCTGGTCGTGTCACTCGTCGACGTGCTCGTGAACTCGGCATCTCGCTCCCGTCCTTGTTCAACCGCTCTAGCATCGACAACGACCATCACCCTTCCCCGCTCACTCCTCTTGTTGAGGAAGACGAGCCTCTTGCACTTCCCGTTTCCACCGACCTGTCCTTCTCTAGCGATTCCTCCTCTGACGACTATCCTCCCCCTCCTCTCTCGATTCCTTCCATCATGACCAAAGCTTCCGTCGTACAGGCCGCTCCCACCAAACCTCCTGTCCTTACGGCTGGCGATCTCACGCCCGAGACTGTGCAGGATCTCGAGGACGCTCTCGATCGCTTCTACCATATGAAGGATGTCGCTGATGCCAGACACATCTCCTACGCCATGTACGCTTTCCAAGATCGTCAGATTTCGGACTGGATCACTACCAATCGCGTCACTCTCAAAGAACTCTCTGTCGTGGACTTTTTCACGAAGCTCAGGGACCGTTGGCTGGAGCCCAACTGGGTCATG